GGCCTTATCTTCCAATTGACCACGGAACTGGACGTTGCTCGAGATGTCGACGCCAAGTATTCCGATACTGGCTGTGGGAGACAGAGGAGTGTCCTCAAATTGAGGAGCTACGATAAATGGCGACTTTTTAGCGGTTAACGCGCAAACTTGTGTCTTTTTGGGGTTGAATTGGACTAAGTTTAGTCGACCCCAATCCGAGACTTTGGTTAACAGAGATTCGACTTCAGACACAAGTTTGTTCCGGCTCTCGTCGACGTATTCTCGAGAAATATTAGCGCGGCCAGTGTACAGCGCATCCACAGTGCTATCGTCTGCATAGCAATGAATGTTGCTAATTTGCAACATGTCATTGATATGCAGAAGGAACAGAGTAGGAGACAGTACACAGCCTTGTGGAACACCAGCATTGACATATTTAGGATCAGAGCAAGCACCGTCGACAACGACCTTAATGCTCCGATCTGCCAAAAAGCTGGTGATCCAGTTGCAAAATTTCTCGGGGAGCCCATAGGAAGGTAGCTTCGAAAGAAGCGCTTTGTGCCATACCCGATCAAAGGCCTTCGCTATGTCCAGACTGGCTGCAAGCGCCTCCCCCTTGGTCTCAACTGCTTCTGCCCATCTATGTGTCAGGTAAATTAGAAGATCACCGGCTGAGCGACCTCGACGGAAGCCGTACTGGCGGTCGCTAATCAGCCGGTGCTCTTCTAGGTACCGCAGGAGCTGGCAGTTGATAATGGACTCCATTATCTTAGAGAACAAGGAGGAAATGGCTATAGGCCTGTAATTGGACGGATCCGAGCGGTTGCCCTTTTTTGGGATCGGGTGCACTAAAGCGGCCTTCCAGGATTTCGGGACTACGCCTGATGAATAGGAGTACCGGAAAAGACGCGTTAAGACCGGTGCCAACTATATAACTTTAAATACATACGTGTTATAAATATAAACACTCATGACTGGAGTACAAACTTTCGTGCTCATCACACAAATGAATGCCTCCAGCGGGACCCGCGACCGCTGGCACAGCAAGTAGGGCACAGCACTACAAACTGAGCCAAACGTGTCGTCAAAATTTTGTATAAATATCTTTAAATGGTTGAAGTAGATGTAACTTTGTAGTTGAAATTTATTAAGTTGTAAATATTTTTTTATGGTCATATCCATAAATAATCGAAAAAGTTTGGTACGAAAGCCTTTAAAAGTTTAGATTAGAGTAATAAATTACAATAATAAAATACAAGTGGTGAAAACAAATCACTGTTATTACCTTAATGCGATAAAGTAACAATTTTTAAAATGTCATAAGGTCAATCAACTCACAGAGCAAGTGCAGATTGGCGGATTTCGCGTGTGTTTCGAAAATTAGTTAAATTATTTCAGACGTGCAGGTTTCTTCACAATTATTTCCTTCACTATAAGGCAAGTAGTAACCCTATTGAAGATGATTCGCACATGAAAAGCTTCGGTTTGAATCCGCTTTACTTAATTTTCCAAGCGAGCGCGTTATCACTGAGCTACCTCTACTACTATTCTACTGCCTTTCAATATCAATTTTAATAACATCTGCTAAAATTACAATAAACGCAACAATATCAACATTCTTATAGGAAACGAATGAATCAATAGGAAAAAAATATTTAGAATACTTTAAATTAAATAGCGACTCCCCCTCGCTCCGCTCCCGGTTTTAAAGTTTAGTATAGATTTCTCTGAGATGATATATTTTCCCGCAGTAAAAAGTATTCTATACATTGACTCGGAAAACCAGCTATCACAATACCAAATTTCATCAAAATCTGTCCAGTGGTCTCGTGATGCGTTCCCAGACAGACAGACAGACAAACAGACAAAATAAAAACTCAGCCTCTGTATCGATAATAATGAATATTTCAATAAGATTTTCAAAAAAAAAAAAATAATGTACAGATTAGACTCAATTAGAATTTTATAATATGTATTGATAAAGTGTCAGGTACCTATTTGGGTATAATTAATGAAATTTCCTCTCAACAGCGACGAGAATGATTAACGATTGAAACCTATTCACGAATGGTAATTGTTATGGCTCTCACGTATACAATAACTGGGAGATTATTTTGCGAGCGATTTAAGATATAAATTAAGGATTTATGACAATAATACACTAAATTTGAAGGTGATATAATACTTAAACGATCCTTCGTACAAACTCTAACGTTGTTTTATTTGAATGTAAATCAGTTAGGCTTAGTGTGTTTGACAGACCTAATAATTTAGATTTTTTTTTAAATTGACTCTATTCGCTCGTTATATTCGCGCATTGCACATTTATTCTTGGCTCTAAACATGTTTTTACAAGAAAAATAAATAAATAAATACATTAACACACAGCACGATCTAGTTCCATGTTAAGCTACGAGGCTTGTGTTATGGATACCAGATAGTTGATACACTACACATATAAACAACTTTAAATACATACATATCATAAATATAAGCACCCGTGACTGGAGTACAAACATTCGTGCTCATCACATAAATGAATGCTCCCAGCGAGACTCGAAACTACGACCACTGGCACAGGAAGTAGAGTCGCTACAAACTGATCCAAACGTGTCGTCAAAGTCTTATTGATCGTTTTTTCCCTCTCCTACTTTCTATATTTACCTTTAATTTCTTATAATACGGTTCAAGGGTAAGGGAACGTAATCGATATATCGGAGGAATCGATATTCGCGATTATAGAATAGGCGTTGTCTGTTTGCAAACGCTCGCGCTTTATGAATGGCGAATGTTTAGTGTACAACCACTGAACTTAATTCATTTTTTTAGTACTTTTTTAAATTTACGCTAATATTTAACATTTTAATTAAGACTATCTTATCGGATTTTCGGAAACGTCGGGAACTAAAAATCAAAATAAATCGACGAAAAGGTTCGAAAAGATAATTTTATTTTGTTAAATTATATATGTAATCATGATTTAAAAATAAATAAATGTTGAAAGGGAAAGGACAGTAAATTGCTTAACAAAGCCATTAGCAATAATTAGAATTGACAAGCTCTGTATCACATTTTTACCACGTGTCATACTTTAGTTAGGTATTGTCTTTCAGTTTAAATTTATTGCTTACTAGCATTGCTCGCGGCTCCGCCCCCGTTCAGATGACCAACAACCAAATTCTTAGGTTTTACATATTAGTATACTCTTTTACTGCAGTTTTTGTATTTTTCTCAGAAATGAGACATTTTCCCGCGGTAAAAAGTATCCTATATGTTGACCCGGATAACCAGCTATCACCATACCAAATTTCATCAAAATTTCTCCAGTGGTTATTCTGTGATGCGGTAACAGACAGAATTACAGACAAAAATTTTAAAAACTATAGATTCGGCCTCTCTATCGATAACAATGTTTATTTCAATAAGATTTTCCAAAAAATATTTAATGTACAGATTCGACATAGTTACAATTTTATTATATGTATAGATGTCATCTTATCTGTTCCGAGGCTTGTAATACGAAACATAACAGTGTACATGTGTGTGTTTTTTATATTGAAAGTAGTATTTTAGTACACGTAGTTGTCTTTATTATACAGTAATGAGAGTGTGAGTTCTCTTTCTCTTAATTAAATGGTTGCAACGAAGCTTTTTGTACATTGTTTTTACCATTTATATCTTATTTACTTTATTTAACTTATTTAATTATGTTTTTTACCCATTGGTAGAATACCTATATAGGAAATGTATATTAAGGTGGTTCAAGATCGAGTTTTAGGCCTCTGAGATTTTTTATGTATGAATTTCAACGTGGTTTCCTAAAGAAACCTGCATATCTTCTTAGTGATCTTTTCTAAAACGTAACAAAAGACATAAATTCCACTAACCCGCATTTGGGCTGCGTGACTTATCAACTTTGTTTCAAGAAATGTTAGAGAGTTTGAATTTTTGTTATTATTTTTTTAGGCATAATTTCACCTTCTTATTTAGATATACATACTAGCAGAACCAGCGGCTTCGCTCGCGTAAAAACTACATAAAAAAATTTAAAAAAGTAGGTTTCATACAAATATTTAACCCATATTTTTAAATTTCAAAAAAATGCTAAAGCACGTTTATGTAAATGTTTTGAATAGCATTGATACCAAGTTTCAAATAATTCTGATCATAAATATTTTTTTAGGTTGTTTTATAACGTGTTCTCCTGCGGTAAAAAGGAGACTATGTCACTTTCTAGCCTAACTATCACAACAGAAAAAATCACGCCAATCCGTCACTCTGTTTCGACGTAAAAGAAGGAAAAATAAACAAACAAACAAACAAACATACTAATATTATATAATAAAAAAAAAACAAAAACAAATTATCCCACGGGAACCGTAAATTTTCCGGGATAAAAAGTAGTCTATGTGTTATTCTGATGTATGAGCCATATTATTGTTAAGTTTCATCAAAATTCATTTAGTAGTTTTTGCGTGAAAGAGTAACAAATATACATCCATACATACATTCTTACAAACTTTCGCGTTTATAAGTATGTATAGATTAGTATGGATGTACCTACGGGTTCATTGCACAGTAAATAAAACTCCAATGATTTCTGTTCTTCTGTTTCAGCGTATAAATAGTAACTACAACAATATTTGAGATACATCTCCACTTTCAGCGTTAATTTATAAACAAAATATATTATAGTATAGTAATTAAAAAGATTAAATAAAACTAAAGCAGTATTTTCTTTATTTTGACGAGAATTCTATAGAACCCACAATTTGTTGTGCTGTCATAATATTACTACCTATGCATATGAGAAAGTGTTATCAAAATCTGTTAAGTCCTTTTAAAATTTTACCACATCAAAAAATAAAAAGTGAAATTAAAGTAGCTACTTATAAGTATAATATCTTTTTAATGCTACCCTCTATTCTATTGCAAAAAATCACATATTTGCTTAGCACCTTTAGTAATAAGAATCATAACTTTGGCATTTAAAGACGTAAATAATAGATGGACATTAAATAATGAAACTTTTATTTACAGACGTGTGGCCAGAAGGGTTAGAGGATCAGTCAAGTAGCGCAGTGCGAGGCAGCTCGGTAGACTACGCGGCGGCGTTGATGCTTGCAGCGATGGCGGCGGTACTGCTAGCGGCCGTGGGCTACCAGTGTGCGGCCACGTGGCGCTGGATCATGGGCAGGTAGGATGAAATTTATTTAATATAATGTATACATGCGGTTAATAAATTATTTTTTATATCTAAAATGAAAATCTAATACTATGTACTAATATTATAATATTATATAGGTGGATTCCCCATACAAACTTTCATCCCAATTTTCACCCCCTTAAGGGATTATTTCCGGGATCCTTCCTCCTTCCTTTCCAGGGTCTCAAACTATCTTCTTACCTCATCTAAATCGGTTCAGTAGATCCAGAGATTACCCCCTACAACGTCACAAACTCACAAACTTTCCCCTTTTTATAATATTAGCATAGATAGGTAAAGTTTGTGTGTCTGTAAGTTTGGATGTAGAGATAATATCTGAACTAATAATTTGCTTCTATAATTTTTTTCTCTAATAGTAAAACGTTACCGCCGAGTGCTATAGGCTATTTTTGTTAATTGAAGTTGGAATAAAATTGGCCGTTTAGATGCTTTATAGGCACACACCCAAATGGCGTATATATTTTTTCGTATGGTACGCCATATAATAAGAGGATTTTAAAGTCTGTGTACTTTCATAAGAAAAGCTATAATGGAACATAGCTTTCGCACTTTCAATATTATTTTAAAATAATATTTATTTATAAATTATCTTATAAGATACTTTATAAATAAATATTATTTTGATAAATAATATAATATATATATAAATATATATTCTGAAGGTCAATAAACTTTACCTAACTTTTTATTGTTTTATAAAACAATACTAAGTTAGGTAAAGTTTATTGACCTTCAGATATGTGAGATAGGACGACTATGTTATAGCTTATCGGGTTTTATGCCTCATACTCGTAGGTTATCTCAAGGAAATTGACTTGAAATAATAGGCTTAAGGGGTGAACAGTTTCGATAAAAGCTCTCAAGGATCGAAGGAAACAGTGAGAATTAACTATGTCAATGCAATCCCGGTTTCAATGTTTGCAAAATATTGGATAAAAGAAAGGAATAATTTAATTTTCACTAAAATACATGTAAAATATATGTCACCGTAAAATTATAAGTGCCGCTACATCGTAATATATCTCGCGAGATTGTAAACTGTCGAATCAATAGTCAACGTAAAATATATTTTTTGAATATTCCAATAAAGGCTATTAAATATAAGGCTACATATCCTTAAAATAATACGCCACCGCTGCTACAGATTTGGCGGGTTTTGAGTGCTGCCAATCTACAGCGGTGGCGGTAATACGTAAGTACCAAAATTCCCGTGTCACGATGTTGGTCCGCGATGAATTCCGAAACTACTTATCCGATCTTAACATATTTTTTTTCAAAATGTGTGATTTATTCCAACTTAAAAGATAGGATAGTTTCTATCCCGAATATTTCCTTTTTTTATTGCAAAATTAACAATTTTAATATGTGTGTACCTCAACGACTGACCGGATCTGCTAGCCTTATACATTATATTTAATTAGATTATAATTTTTTTTTTGTATTCTTCTCAGCAAACCCTTTCATTTGAAATCCATATCTTGGGGGTGCGTAAAAAGAAACAGTGCGCCATCTTTCGAAGTCCGCCATATTGGATTGACAATGACGTAAAACGTTCCGCTTTTGAGTTAACGCGTTTATTAATTTCACTCCTAATAAAATATCCACACCGGGCGTAATATATGAAAATCGGATATTTAAGGAGTAAACCTCAATAAACTCCAGTAATTTAAATTAAAAATTGGTATATCCAAGCTCAATAAGAATTATAAAAAAATAATGAGGTTGAGATTGTAAAATTATTTATGCCAACTTGAAATGAAACGCGACATTTCACTGCTTATCCCTTTTAGAGAGGCCTGAATACTAAGTGCTAAGATTCACACCTATCCATTTCGGTTCTCTTAGAATTATTTTTTTTTTTTAAGATTATATTTTAAACTAGACTTCGACCTCACTCAGACCCTAAATTCGTTTGTGCATTGATCAGTAACTTTTACTAAACTTCTATCTTATAAAGTCTTCATTTAATAATACTATCACTAAAAAAAACTTTTTATTTTATAACGCGAAATCACAAGACTAACATAATTACTTTTTAACATTTTCGAAAGTCACTTTAAAAATCATATTTATAGTTTAAAAAAATATATTTTTTCGTGAAATACATGAGATATGTGCCACGATCAAGATTCAAAAAATTATTGTAATCCCTTTACAATAGACAAAGATACAGCGTAAAATACACGAAAAAAATATACACTCGGATTGAGAACCTCTTTCTTCTTTAGATTTTGTGAAGTATAATAAAAAAGTTCATAAATATAAAGATAACTAAAAATTTAAGATAACTATAAGATTAAACTAGGTTTCTTTCTCTCAGGACACGGCGTGATTCAGAAGACAGTAACTGTGACTCCCTATCTCGACAAGCTGCTATCCGCATTAGCCACTCTCTACCAGACCTGCAGACCGAGCCATTGAAGCAAGAATACGTTCAAGAGCACAAGGATGCTGGCAAAAAGGTAATAAATATAATAGAATTTCATTTCCTTTTAGAGTTTGCGTGAGTGACATTGAGTGGTTTTCTAGTACAGAAACTGACTCAGTTTGGTCTTTTCAGATAATAATGCTCATCAGAAGTTTCTGATGAGCATTATTATTTGAAAAGATAATAATGATAGATCAATATAATTATAATAACAAAAAATATATACACACGAACATAGAACCTCCACCTTTTTGGAAGTCGGTTGGTTATATTTTTTATAAAGAGCCAAGAGTGTACATTCGTTTTGTATATATAATTAAGTATATTTGTAATTTTCTTTATTTATATCTATACATATAATAAAATTCGGAGTCGAAAAAGAAAAAAATAACCAACGTGGATTTATTCCTGGAAGAGATTTCTTTTAGTCGATATATGGATATGAGCGATTAAATGTATGTATTTGCATAATATGTTAACAGTAACGTATTTAAATATAGGTGCGTGTGTTTGAATCTGAAATTAATGTTGTTTAGTTCTTACCTGATTTATATTATTTAATATAAATCAGATGATTTATATAATTTAATATACAAAAGGATTTCAATAAACAAAATTTGTGTGTAGTAAAATAAGGTATCCAACTTTTTTGTTGTTAGTAGTGACAGCCCTAACTTTTCCTGTTACTTTCATTTGATGATCCCTTACGACGACGAGAAGTTGATATTAATGAGTAACGGAAATGTCTCTCTTAATTTTGTATAGAAGAGTGATTGATGAAGGTATAAATAATAACTTTTTCTAGTATCTATAGTACTATGTACTAACACCTTTTCTACCTTCTGCAATTTTCATAGGAAATAAAATACAAGAAATCTACATGAATACTATAGGTATGGTTTAATTGGCATTAATTAATTTAATGTTAAATAAGTTGATTAAAATTTACTAGAACCCTTTGGCAAAAGGGTACGACCTTGTTTTTGTTGCTTGTGCCAACCCTTATCAAAATTAGTATTGATTAATGAATCACATCTAATCAATTTTCGTGACGGCTTTACCATTTGCTTGTAATTAGTGACCTGTTCTTACTAGGCTTAACTAACACTAACTTACTGTGAGTCCATTAGAGACTTTTCGCAAAAGCATATTATCCCACTTTAGCCATATGATATACCAATATAATAGTAGCAACTGTTCTGTTGGTTTAGTTACTAGAAGGCACGTTTGTAGATCAGGAGTTCCTGAGTTTAGGTCTGGGGTCAGGCCAAATATAGTTATTAGGTTTTTCTATCAGGACAAACACAGTAATAACTCCAAGCTGAAAAGTCGGCTGTATTATAACTCCGTGCCTCGGAGAGCACTAAAAGTCGTTGGTCTTGCGCAGTCTTGCCGATGTGTCGGTGTCCCGACGAACTTTGTAAGTGAATCGAGAAAAGATGAAGTGTTTGCGCACATACTTGTGCAGTAGTCTCCTGCGCAAATCGCTGGTCTCACTCAGTGAGATTGGGCATCGTAGTCGAAATCGATTAGGAGGACATGATTTTTATAAAACTATCTCTCACTTGTTGCTATATCAATAAATATCTACACAAAATCTTACATAGATCCTATTCCGCTGTCAAACTTTAAGAGGACAAACTAACAAATACACTTTAGTATTTATAACAAAATAAATATTGATTCCTAAGAACTAAAATTTGAAAATGTTAAAGTAATTTCCAAAGCTTATAAACTTTTAATTGAATAAACAATATGGATCCAATAACGAAGAACGTAGGTCGTCCATCGCGTGTGGATATTGTTGAGAAATAATATAGATGCAGTAATTGAAAATAAAATATAATATAGTAGATATTATTTATTCAGCATAAACTCAGTACAAAAATCGTAAAAGGCGTCAAAATGACAATACTATGTTTTTCAAATCAATATTACTATATAAAAAATATTATATCAAGAAACAATTGTTCTAGTTATATCAAAATAAAATGATATTTTTAATAATAAAAATCCATACGGTATTTTATTATATACACAATAGATATTATCTATTTGTTAGCAAATTATTTTGCCCATTCCATGAAATTGTTATAAGAGCTTTCAATTTGCGCCGTCTATATTTCAAAATTTCTCTGAACTTAGGTGAAATGTATATTGTATCGAATAGTATTACAGAAGAAAATATTATACCACTTAGTGGAAACGATTAAACCGTGACAACAAAAAGCTTTTATGACGTCTGTACAATGTACATTTTGTGCTATAGGTTTTATAGACTGTGATGGTTTATATCCCATAGGGCATTTTATTTTTGTACTATTTTAGGTCAGACTAGAACTTATACAATTTAACTTATAATATATATTATATATACTAATATTAAAATATAAAAATATAAACAGAATTGTTGACAATTGTGTAAGATACTTATTATACGGCTATAGATGTTTATTCGGGTCTTAAAGATCTCTTAAGTCAAGAGCGATGAAGGTTTTCAACATCATACGTACGAGTATAGGTATACTTAGTAGGATCATGAAACCATACAAGTACCAGATATTATTGTCCGGATGTTTTACATCATTTCACGCTCGAAAAAGAATAAGAAGTTAGTCTTTCATGGCAATATTACCGCCTTTAATATGCCTTTTTGCTAGCATTTTTAAGCCCCTGTACCTTATATTGTATCAATACTTAACACACACATAAATAAATAGTAACAAAGCGAAATCTGTATATGAAATGTTTTTAAAACATACGTTTTACAGAATATATACCCCAAAACAATAGTTGTTGGAATTTTTGTCTGTATATCTGTTCAATTTTAATGAAATTTTGTGCAGTAATAATTTATTACTCGGGTAACATTGACAATGCCTTTTATTACAGAAAAATCTCTCATGCCCACGGCAAAACACAATAACTGGTCGGCCGAGTTGCCTTTATACAAAAATTTCAATTATTTATTACACAATAAATTTTAGTAGCAGAATTATAATAACCATATTCAATAATTTATTCTGGTGAAATTTTTCCTTAAGATCGGATAATGTAAAGCTTCAGTGCAAGTCGCTTATCTGTAAAACAAAGTCGCTGTCTGCTTCTGTCTGTTTCTCCGCGTACTTCTTCTAAACCACGCAACGGATATTGATACTTTTATTAATAGAACAAGTAAAAAAAAAAGGAAAGTACAAATATACAAAACAAACGTAGACTTAATTATTACTGTACAATAAATCACTAAAACATAATTATTAATCCCTCAAGGACCGCGGACACGCCGGCGTTATAGTTTCTCAGAAATTTAATTAATTTCTTAGTAATTTACCTGAAGGTGTCAATTATAACATTCAGCAACATCCCAATCATGTAGGTAGGTACAAAATAAATTAATATTAAAAAAAACAAGCTTTTATATCATATAAGTTGTGTAATGTAATAAATGGGTTTGATTTAATTTAACCTTTTCATTCCATATCATGGGGGTGCATATTATTAACAAAGTCGTTCATCGTTGGCACTCCACCATGTTGGATTTAGAATGACGTCACTTATCTGACCATGCATTATCATCTAAACTAAACATGTGTGCATTTCAGCTTAATCGGTTGAGGATAAATGCTTTTAAAATTCCGTTGCAAGATTTGACCCAACAAACATACATACAAACATTGCAAGTTAAATAAGAGCTTGTAATAATATAAACTATTTATTTCGCTTTTGTAAATATCAATCGACTCTGTGACATTAATACTCGTTAAATTTGGATAACTTCTGATTGTTGGTTTAAGATTCGTCTCGTTTACTAGATCAATAATAACATATCGTCTAAGAAAAATAATTTACTGTAATAAAATGCTGCAAATATAACATTTGCTATGTTATTAATAATTTATAGAGTTCATGAATAAATGTATTGTATGTATGTATGTATGTATATATTCAGCCCTTTGTAACGCCCTACTGCTGGGCACGGGCCTCCCTTCAATACGAGGGGGTTCAGGCCATAGTCCACCACGCTGTCCAAGTGTGGGTTGGCGGACTTCACATGTCTTTTGAAAACTTGCTAGGTTCTCTCAGACATGTAGGTTTCCTCACGATGTTTTCCTTTACCGTTAAGACAAGTGGTAATGATGTTGGAAATGATTCGCACATGAAAATATCAGAGGTGCGAGACCCGGGATTTGAACCCGCTTCACTCCCGCTACCACTGGACTAACACTACCTTTAAATAATGCCATGAGTAAATGATGTTTGCATATACATATTGTATATGTACATACAATTGTAAAAATTGTAAGACGTGAAAATTATATATACATAACACATAAAAATATTGTACTTTAAATAAATTTTGATTTGTTTGTAAAAATTTAATTGTAAATTAATATTTTTTTCAAACTTTTGCCTTTGTGTTTGCAAACGACAAAAGGAAAGAGAACATTGTTAATTGTTAAACAAGAAACAGATCAAAACCGCAAAAACTTTCTTCTCAAAAACTTTTTCTTCAGTCTCAAGTCTTTGTGGGGTAACAAAATAATGAATTCATAAATTCTCGTTAAACTAAATAATCGTCATAATAAATTTAATATTATATTATATATTAACATTAGGGTGGAGTGAATCTCGCCAAAAAAAAAAATTTCTTTTTTTTTAATCTCCTGTATGTTTTATCGATGACCCTATAGAAAAGCTTCATTTATAGTAAAAATCAAAAGTTTACGACTTTATCTTCAGGTGACGCACTGAATAAGTCATTTACAAAATACTTAAAATTTTACTTTTAAATTTTACCTATATATATATATATATATATATAGAGATATATATATATATATATATATATATATATATATATTTAGTATTTAGTTTTATGGGTTTTAGATATGTCAGTTTACCACAATTTATTTCGTCAATATGGTGTAGAATGGAGAAGACGCGATTGAGGATTGACTAAGGCCCAATCCACACTATCGTGCCGGTCACAGTCCGTTTTCAGTCCGATATCGTTGTGGTAAAGTATTTCTTATTCAAGAAACGTTGCTGAAGTATGATTCCACCGGAACTTACTTGTGGTGTAAATGCACTCCTTGTTTATTGCATAAAATACTTTATAATACTGATATCGAATCGAATATTACTATAGTGAGGATCGGACCTAAATATGAAATTATATTATTCATCAAGACTATCGTCATACCCTGCCCCTTTCCCATTTCCCATTACTTGGGAATTGTTCATCAACAGTAATCAGCTCATTTTAACTCGGCTATACCTAATCTTTTCCATGGTACTCGTACATATCTAAGTTCTATATTTGGCTCCTCGATTCTAAAGTTTACGCTCTCTTGGGTAGTAGTAGCATGATGATATATAGCCTATAGACTACTTCAAATCGGATCAGCAGTTCTTGAGATTAGCGCGTTCAAACAAACAAACATACTCTGCCTCTTATATAATATTAGCATAGATTTATCTTTTTTCATAAGTTTTCTGTATTCAAAGTCCTTAAATGAACCGTATATTAGAAAGTCCGAGGTAAGTTAGTCCTTCAGAAAAAGAGTTAAAATTAATAAATAAAAAAGCAAACAAACTAAAAAAATATATTATAAAAAGCAGTCATGAGTACTGCCGACAGAAGTGGAAACTTAGAACTATAAGCTTTAACAGTTGTTATAATATTTTGATATTGAAATTAATTGTTTGATCTTAAATTAAAATTTGTAAATCAAAACTCTTTATCTGGTTCTGACATCTATCGGCACTCTGAGTGTTAGCGTTAACACGTCATGTGACCATGTCGATGACGACTTACATGTATTTACTCCCATCCAAACCTGCCTGTAGAAGTTTTCGATTGAAAAACCTAGCGCTAAATTTACACTAAGGGCAAGGGCTAGTGTCTAGGGTGGCAAATTTTTAGAGGCGGCAAAATTCGGTGGGTGGGATTTTTTTTTCTTTTTTTTATCTTTTTTTATTTTCCAAAAAATGAATAATTAAAAAAATAACTAGTACATTTTTCGAAAAATTGAAATCATTTATAATTTTTTTTAATTTTTCAAAAAAAATAATTAAACTTTCAATATTTTATTCATAATTTCGATAATAGGGCGGAATTTTTAACTATGTCTAGGGGCGGCGCTAAGGTTAAATAAAGCACTTTAAATCCTTTTAAGTTTTTAATATAATATATTAATTATAAAGTAAGGTTCATCATTTACAATTTACTTTATATTATTATTAAGATAACTTACCATTTTACAAAGTACATTCTAACTGTTACATCTTATAATTTTATATTATTCATTTGATATTTTAACAAAGCGTAAACCTCGGGCTATTTACTCCGGTCCTTCAAAAGGAGTTTGAGATGAATCTCAACATTAAATAAAACCTAGTTACGTAATAATAGTAAAGTAAATTAAATATTTTCATACTAGTGTACCTAGTCATAGTACTATACTTAGTTTTAAATTTTTCCATTGTACGGGAATATAAAGTTTGTCACATATTGTAAAGTATTTGTATGGTTTGTAGTTAGAAATTCTGGGTTGACTTCTTTGTTTAAAAGGCTGTTAGAGATGCCAGTAATATTACATAGAAGTAAATGTAGTATTTTGTTATATGTAATGAAACTTTTTCACTCGGCTATTTTTTAAATAACTAGGCTATTTTGTATCAACGTACAAATTACAACGCGAGAGGGTTTTAAAAATGATGTTTTCATAAATAAATTAATAATATTTTATTGTCGTAGGTGCTTCGTCAAACAACGCTCCCCATAGTGCCAGATCGTCATCAGACCTTCCAACGACAGCTATCTCATCGCCTGGACCTACCATCTATACAGTTCAGCATTTGCAGTCTGGAACGCGCTGATTCTTCTATTGGATTAATTAAGGTATAGTATATTGCCACTTCCGGAAAGCAAAACGTGGGCACACCTTCCATAAGGTGGACCGATGGATAAAAAACTGCCTACCAAGCCAAGGTGGTAGATTCTTTACGGACTGACTACACTGACGTTTAATTTAAAAAAAATGTGAAATTGACGATTCAAAAATGCTTGTAAAATTCTATTTCAATAAAGTATATATTTTGATTTTTGATTTTGACAACTTCACTGGAGCCCACTGGATACGGGTGGCACAAGACCGACTGTTGTGGAAATCTTTGGGGAAGGTCTATGTCCAGCAGTGGAATAGTTTCGGCTAAAACGAACGAACAATGCTACTTAAATATTTCATAGTTTTCTATGAGGTTATAGCAAGATTTTCATATATAGTAATATTAACTGTAGGACGCTGTACAAATATTAAATCTCTTCGATCGAGAGCAAGTAAATATTGAATGGGATTGTCTCTAGACTAGACTAGACCGATGGGATATTTACTTTGTTTGTTTTAAATTTATTTTGTAGTATTTATTTATACTTATAAGTACAATAGATATGTATATGAATTACATATATTATTCTCTACACTTGGCACATATGATCGTATAAATGATATTAAATTAATAAAATGTTTTATTTCGTTTCTATCTGTATGTCTGTTTTATTGTAAGTAGCAATCTCCGGAAAAGCCTTATATAACTGAAACAGAATTTTCACGGACGGGAAGAAAGTGTCATGGGCGTCTTTTTGTCGCACCACGAAACATACAGTTCGATTTTTTCTTCTACAATTGGTTAAAAAGTATAGAATAGAGTGACAGTGCCCCCTTTTCTCTCTATTAACTCCTTTAAGGAAAATGACATCAAGTATGTATTTACATGAAATAAAAATAAACAAAGCACAAAATAAAGATAACACATATTGTACTTATATTTATAATAATTTAAACAGCTCATTATCTTTTCAACATAATTAGTGTACTCAAAAAATATTTAAATATTTGCCTTTATCCTTAAGCTTTAGAGGCTTTAACGAAAGTTTAACTTTGGAAAAGTATTATGTTAAAAAGCACAATTTAATGAAGTGGAGGAAAACAATAATCGGACTACTAAAATAAGTTCGAATAAGAATGCGCTGCTGTGCGAATAACGTATTTGTTAGTTCTTTTCAAACGGCTGAACGGGTTTGATTGAAAATCACGTAGGCAGACTACGACTTATAGCAAATAGGGAATAGGGACTAGGGACATATCAAAAAGTAAGGCGAAGGTTCTTATTATATGATATTTTTCCTTAATTTTTCTGACACGGAAAAGTGCGTATAGTTATAATAGTAATATCGTATAAAAGTGAACACTAGAACAACCATGTTATATTACAAGACACAACACTCACGAGCGTCTAAAAATATGAGTTATGATGATGTAATTCATCGTTTCACTACCATGTATTCTGAAAGTGACGTGCACGTGTTGCGTATATATTATGGATATGATAAAAATATCCATCAGGATGTTGTTATCAAACAATATAAAGGAATAATAAACTTTTTGTACCGGTAATGAGTTTTCTTGATAATATTTTCGCTTTACGCAAGGAAATATTAAATAATTAATTATTTCCGATTTTATAAGTTGTCATGTGAATAATAATATTATAATACTGGCGATTCACCCTCGCTTTGCTCGGATTCGTTCCTAGGTACGTTTTAACGGTTAGTGTGGAATAGATAGACTATATTATTATATGATACTAGCAGCTCACCCTCGCGTCGCTCACAACAAAACAAACCTATCCCACGGGAACCGTACATTTATCCGGGATAAATTTCAGATTTCCGGGATAAACGGATTTCTGCTGTTCTGGCGTGAAATAGTAACAACATCCATACATACTCACAAACTTTCACATTTATAATATTAATACGGAAATATGGATATAGCCTATAGCCTTCCTCAATAAACGGGATATTGAATGCAAAAAGAATTTTTCAAATTGAATTAGTAGTTCCTGAGATAAGCGCGTTCAAACAAACAAACTCTGTCTCTTTATAATATAAGTTTAAATCACAATGAAAATAAGTATTTAAGTACTGAGAATATTTTCGAGTTATTTATTTACGCGGATGAACCTGCGAATGAAGGCTAGTAGATATGATAGAGATGCCACTAACAGAATTGATTTTGCTAAATTGTCTTTATATATTTCTCATATATTTGTATAAAATAGTGATTTAATAGTACAATTGCAAACTTCTGTACCGTGTTTTTATTGTAAATTAATTACGAGTAAAAAAAACACGTGAAATGATAGATTCCATTATTTAAAAAAAAAACAGTTTTACTCATAAAATTGACTTCTAAAATTTTGCGACAGACAGCTTTGTAATACACTTTTATAGATTTTTTTAATTTAATATTTAAATAAATTAATTTCTATTTATATATTATCTCAATACTGAATTAACCTCAATGAACAATTGCAGGTTTCGAAATGTTGAACCAAAAATTTAATTTTGTAAAAAAAATAGTTTATGTCAAAATAACATAAACATAAGCTCGAGTGATTCCATGAAGCTAGCATTGATCAATTATGGGTAGTTTTTCTCCCTACTTTCAAGATTTATAAAACATTTTATATAAGGCTGATATCGTATTGTTCTATTAAATTATAAGCTGTTTATACATTACAATATTTATTTAAATTTCTAACGCAAATCTTCTATTAAATTATGTTTTCAAGTTAATAGTTTTATATCTATACCTAATATTTTTACGTTCTGATGCACGAAATTTATATGTAATTAAAAAAAATCCGGACAAGTGCGAGTCGGACTCGCCCACCGAGGGTTCCGTACAAATTTGTAGGAAATCTGTTTAATTTTAATTTGCAATTTTTTTTTATTTTTTGGAATTTTTCCTTTATTTTTGCTGTAAGACCTTGCTTTTTGCCAAATTTCGTGATTCTAGGTCCACGGGAACTACCGTATATATATAGGTTTTCGACTCAAAATGTATAGGTAACCCTATAGGTATTGAGTCGAGTCGAGTTCCGGTTGACCTAGAATTGTCAATTTTGGTTAAAAGCAAGGTCTTACAGCACAAGTAAAGGGAAAATTGCGAAAAATAAAAAAGGTTTTCACGAAAATCTAAATTTGCCCATATCTTTTCATTGTGTTTCCGTACATTTTTCCGGGATAAAAAGTAGCCTATATGTTATTTTGAAGTATAAGCTGTATTATTGTAAAGTTTCATTAAAATCCATTCAGTACTTTTTGCGTAAAAGTGTAACAAACATCCATACATCCATACTCACAAACTTTCACATTTATAATATTAATATAGATGTACATATTTGTATACACATTAAACCTCAGAAGGATTAAAAAATTGCAAGAAAAAGGCACAATGAAACAAACCACAGAGGACATTTTACCTTCTTTCGTGAGATTTATTGATTTCGTGACAATCGTTTGGTTTTAGAGGCCTTTAGCCAGTACTGTCTACTACGTCGGATTCTTATATATTTGAAAACTTGAAAACGTATTTACGAGTAATACAACGTTAAAAAATAACTATGAATATTAGATATACTTATTTCACTATCCAAATAGCGTACATGCTATACTTAGTTCACTCGATCCTCTAATTCCAAGGAAACTAACATCGTATGTATATGTAATTAATAAAATAATTACTATTACCCGCCGTGTGCTTTCACAAGGTAATATAAGCTTCTGCGACATAAGCACGCTCTCTAACTAGATGTTACTAAAAGTAACTCAAACTATGCTGCGTAATAATTTCCATTTAATATGTTAAGTTTCTATGGTAAAAGACAAAATTGTTGTTTTATTATTTAAAGACACGTAAATATGACATATTTCATTGAATTGTACGAGTATATATATGCCTTTGTGTGATGTTCTTCTGAGACTAGCCATGTGCTCAGGAAATACTCGTATATCGGAAATATAGTACAACACAGTACGTGTAGACACAAATGCTCTAGAGAGCTCTCAGATAGATCTGACAAGGACTCGAATCCCGGACTTCCGGATCTGCTACTGCACAATACACATGTTAGACAGTAAACCAGAGCATTTATCCCATGTATATCTCTCCTTGTATCATATTGTTGATAAATATTATCATAAATAGCCCTTGGACAACCCATGGCTTTACAAATTTGCCGTCACTGCTGTCACTTATTAAATATTTTTCCACTTTACATAATGCAATTTAGTTGAAATCACTTCGAAGTGATTGTTGCTTTTCCAAATTAGTTTTTGATGAAACTTTTTATTTAATAAACTTTATACAAATGTAGTATTAGAATTATATTGGGACCTTAAAGAAGGTTTTATATGAGAATAACGATCGTTGTAGCCGTTTGTTGAGGAAGATATTGCGTTCAATCTGTTGGGCTTATCAAGACATGTTAGGTTGTTCAATATCCTTTATGTACATTTTTTTCATTTAATTTAATTCAAAGCATAAATATATTTACAATTTAAGGTAGCATATTTCTAATCTTAGGTTTTAAAGGAGAGCTTATATTCTGATCTGTATTAAAAATAAAGATAGGTTATTCGATTTACTCAATCTATATTATTATAATCAAATTTATTAAAATCGATATAGCAAATTTTATATCAAATGTAAACAAAGCTTAATTTATATATTTTATAAAATTATATTCTTTTTTTTTCATTATATTTCTTCATCTATGATTATATTTATTTTAATTAGGTCGATTCCCCATACAAACTTTCGTCCCCATTTTCACCCCCCCCCCCCTAAGGGATGATTTCCGGAATAAAAAGTATCTATGGCCTTTCTAGAGTCTCAAACTATCTTCTTACCAAATTTCATCTAAATCGGTTCATTAGATCGAGAGATTACCCGCTACAACCTGACAAACCCACAAACTCACAAACTTTACCTCCTTATAATATTAGTATAGATTATTAACCATATTTAATGATTAATATGTATTTACAAAGTTTCAATAATGATCAGAGGGTAGAAGCTATTTTTGTTAAAACGTTAGAGCGAAAGGTCCTTTAAAAGGGTGCCTAAAATAATAAATAAAGCAGCCTTTGCTCTATATACCCGTAGAAAATAATATTCATATGAACATTTGGGCAAATAGAGAATACATAAAAATATTTTTTTAGATTTATTTATTTATTGTAATATAGAAAAATAAACCAAATTCATTTATATACATGATTTCTTATCATTTATATATTAAATAATAAATATTAATATTTTCTTTTTAATTAAATGGGAAATATGAAAATGGCGTTGAACAGAGAACTCTAAACTTTCTCGGACACCATATAAAAAATTTATTGAATGACAGATATTTTCAAAGTCGGTGCCCACACTGGGCTAATATCTTTTTCAATATCATCAATTGTGTTACCTGCAAGCAGTGTGTCGCAAATAAAGCTCTTTCTTTTAATAAAAAAAACAAATCTGAATTGCATACCTCCTTTATGAAGTCGGTTGAAACATACAACTAACAATTTTAACTTTCTTATAATATTATAACTTTTATATATTCGTGATGGTTTTATTGGTTTATGTAGTACTGAAGCGAATAATCTATACATATAATAAAATTGTAACTAAGCCGAATCTGTACATTAGATATTTTTTGGAAAATCTTATTGAAATAAACATTATTTTCGATACAGAGGCCAAATCTATAGTTTTTAGAATTTTTGTCTGTCTGTCTGTCTGTTACCGCATCACAGAAAAAAACAATGGAGGGATTTTGATGAAATTTGGTATGGTGATAGCTGGTTATCCGGGTTAACATATACTACTACTTATATGGATAAAAATACAAAAACTGCAATGTAAGAGTATACTAATATGTAAAACCTAAGAATTAATTTTTTGGTCATCTGAACGCGGGCGGAACCGCGGCAAATGCTACTGTGCTATAAGTAGCAAGCTTGAAGTAATCTCGCATCGTGCTAGTAATACTTTGTAACAATGAGCAATGGGCACACAGACCCACTAAACCGCTTAGAGACTTATGTACGTATACTAGTAATGGAACAACATCTTTTCTATGTAAAAATTGTGACAATATTTTATTGTAATATTATTACTTTGATATTTATTTATTCGGGTTATACCTTTGTTGTTTTATCTTTATTTTTCAACTACTTTAGTATGTTAACCCACCCTTTTTTTTTTATGTCGGGAAATGCATTTACGCATACCACCTGATCCCCTAGGTGGTGATGTGGGGCTCACCGGCTAGAAGAGCTGGTACTACCCACTAAAACCCGACATTCCCCTCCCCTCCGCCTTAATGGGACGCCGCAGGATCGCTTGCGCATAACTACTACGGCGCCCCGATGTTAACCCACCCTACAGTTTAAGTTACAAGGAATAGAAAGTATTAACAAAAAAATGTATGTGTGTACTTATGTACGCACGTAAGAAGTTATACTTCTTTGACGTAACAGAACAATAATACCTAAATATTTCATCCTGTATGTCTCAACTCTGTTTGTAAAACGAATGCAGCTAGCTTCATTATGTTGCTTTTTGGCTGTCGGTGTGCGCGCGCATCGTAAAAAATTAACTCTCATAATTTTTTCCAAACGTGCCAATTCGTGGTGTTTTTTGACTGATAAAAAATGAAAAAAAAAATGTGTTGTGTGATTTAATTTTTCAATCACCTTCTACCACTTTTTTTTTTCACCTCTTTAGATACAATTTGTGAAGAAAGTTTATTATAAACCTTTGATAAGTACCATGCGATAGTATGTATCGATTAAATATTTTACGCAACAGGAAATTAAATCCTAAAATGCCAAACCAGAAAACTGACACGACGCCAATTTAGTGTCAGAAAGCAATAAGATAATTAAATATACGAAAATACTCCGATTAAGATCAGTATGTAGTGCTTGCTATTCTGTAACAACTTTTATGTAAAACAGGTAAATTCGTGATTGTACTTGATACCTTTTTTTTTTTAACGTTGGGAAATGCATTTACGCACGACGTGTGGGACTCACCGGCGTAATACAGCCAGTACTACCCACTAAAACCCAACAAAACCTTCCCCCGTCTTAATGGGGCGTCGCAGGATCGCTTACGCATTCAACTACGACGCCCCGACGGCAGGTCTGCCAAAGCAGACCACCACAACCATGGGGTTGCTCCACAGTCCAATCTGCAAATTGTACTTGATACCTGTATGAAGTACATTTAAATTCGCTAATTTTGTTAACGAGTTAAAATTATGTTTTTTACAGAATAGCACTACATTAGAGAAGATATCATTTTACAATCGTATAAGTGTTTGAATCGTGCACATCTATACATATAATAAAATTCCATTTGCGTCGAATCTGGACAAAATATATACTTTTGGAATTATTTATTGAAATAGTCATTATCATCAATACAGAGGCTGAATGTATATTTTTAGAAATTTTGTCTGTCTGTCTGTCAATGAATCACGAGAAAACCACTGGACAGATTTTGATGAAATTTGGCGTGATAATAGTTGGTATTCTTTAATGAGGTTAGCTGGTAATCTTTCGTTAGAATATTCTTTACTGCGGGAAAAAATCTCTTCGATATTAAACGTTAAAACGTACTAGGGACGAACCGACGAAAGAACAGGAGCGATGGTGAGTCCCTAGTCATGTTGTACAATAGATATTTCAGGGTTTATAACATTGTAGACAAGCCGAGTTTGTAAGATTTCATAAATTTCTCGGAAATCTTCCTCGATATCTTGCAAGGGTCAGTGATCTCGATTTTTGCAAGCTTTGGTATCAGATTTCCCCAATATCCTTCCTCTACGAAAGAATTTCCTTTTTAATATTTCTTATATTGCACTTATATCATGCTAATAAAAAGGCCTTCTAAACCCTGCTAATAGTATACAATATACATCTATTTCCTTGGATCTTTCCATACTTTAATATTATAAATGCGAAAGTAAGTCTGTCTGTTTGTTACCTTTTCAAGCTTAATTCGCTGAACCGATTTAGATGAAATTCGGTGTGGAGATAGTTTGAGACCCTGGAAAGGACTAGGATAGTTTTTATCCTGTAAATCGTCCTTTAAGGGGTTAAAAAGGTGAGTGGAAGTTTGTATGGGGAATCAATCATTTCTTAAGTAAGGGCTGTATTTTTATTTCTTTTTTAAATAGTTTTTAATGTAGTCTGTAATATAAATATCGTACTTTATATAAAGAATCTTATAAAATTTATAACTAAGGCTGATTTTGTACATTAATTTTGTTTTATAACAGTTTGTGTTTTGGAAGAGTATAAACGGTTGTTAATATAACGTTAAAATTTCGTAAATTTATTAAGTTATTCTAACTTCACTTATTACGTACCTTTGACTCGCAGATTGGGTTTTTGACGGCTTAATTTTTAAATATTTTTTTAAGATTTCCTAGGCTTCGATCTCAAGTTTAAAGTCACGACGATTTTTGTCTCTTTCTCTTACTTAGTGCGCACCATAAATGTCACTAAGGACAAAAAAATCTCATTTTAGAATTAGACTTCAATGCGATTTGTGTTCTCGAAACATGCATATAAGAAAATTGGAACAAAAAAAAACACACTAACTTAAATTGGTTCTATATTTGTTTTGTTAGAAGTAAATATTTAAAAAGAAGTTTTAAAATATTACACTTGTTTAGACCAAATATTGAACATATATACGAAAACTTCGAAGTAAATAGTAATTGAAAAAATTGAATTATATTTCTATCTTATAGCTAATTTATTTTAATTTATTTTTCTAGCCGGAGCTTTACAAGAATGAATTGGTGCGTCAATCATCTACGGACAGCGGTGAATTGGAGTTCTGTGGGAAATTGCATTTCGCATTGAAATACGACCAAGAAGTAGAGGCTCTTGTTGTTAAGGTATATAATCATATTAATATATTTAGATATTCTATATACTAATATTATAAAGAGGTAAAATTTGCGAATTGTGAGTTTGTGAGTTTGAGACATTGTAGGGGGTCATCTCTGGATCTACTGAACCGATTTAGATGAAATTTGGTAAGAATATAGTTTGAGAACCTGGGAAGGATATAGGATACTTTTTATTCCGGAAATCATCCCTTAAGAGAGTGAAAATGGGGATGAAAGTTTGTATGGGGAATCAACCTAGGGACGAACCCGAGCGAAGCGAGGTTGTGTCGCTAGTATATGTATAAATAGGAAAAGACAAAGCAGTTCACTACCTTTCGTCTCTGTTTGTCAATGTTTGTCAATTTTTTTTGTATAGTAGCTATTGACGACCCTTAATGTTATTAAAAGTATATATTTTTTGTAAACATTTAATTTCTTTTACATAGATAAGTATACCTAGGTAAAGGTAAAATAGCTTTATATCTCTGGGCGGAGGTTTATTGCAACTAGATCACTTGTTCAGTTCAGTTAATTGAACTAATAGGATTTTTTCTTAGTTAAAATTATACTAGCTTTTACAACTTAATTTTCTTTTTAAGTTATAAAAATTTTCAGGTGCTTCAAATGAACTAAAATATATGTTTTCTAACTTTTGTATATGAAGGTGATGGTTGAGTTATAGTTAATAATAATTTAATAATATGTAAAATTGACTGCCATGGTCAAAAATAAGCCAAGAAAATATAGCTTCATGTCTGCTCAACTGTTGTATTTATTAAAATCAATATACATATGCTATATGCTATATGCTATATATATATATATTATATATATATATATATATATATATATATATATATATATATATATATATATATATCCATTTATCTTCCGGCTAACATTTTATTTTGCTCAAACAGCTAAATGGACGAAAAGTTGTTTTTTTTGCATATTTAGCATATTTTCTCCAAACACGATACTTCAGCGCACTGGTGCAATGTCAAAAGTTTAATTAAAACAAAAGAAAATGTTTATATTCAGCATACCGTTAATGATAATTCTCTTTTACTTTCTTAATTCAGTATTTAACTCAATTAGATTAACTAAGTTTTGCCAGTTAAGAATTAACCATCAAAGCAATGGTAGTTAAAGTCACTACAAACAAATTACTAAGATAATCTTCATGGATAAGTTCAAACCTACACGTTTACATTTATGTGTGGAAACATAAATTAAACGAGCTAACTCAATTTATGTATGGAATATGTGCTTATAACACTGTATAGCATGCATTTTAATGACTTGTTTAAATATTATCGGTATTTCATTTGTATTAGTATAAAGTTTTTTAGTTCTATTCTCATTAAAAGATGTGAATATTAAAATATGTAGAAGAAAAAGTGTTGCTTAACTCAATTAGTGAGTTTCTCGAATATGTCGGGTGACTTTATTCTTCGCTTACAAATAACTGAATAACAAATAATACTAATAAAACAAAATTTAGACCTCAATCACGATATGTTGTATTTATTACTACCTTATCTTTTATTTAAAATGTAATTCTTTGTTAATAACAAATGTGTATATATGTAGATCTTTTTTGTAGTTTTTTTTAAATATGTTGTGAAACTATATAACAGCACCATCTAGTTCCATGGTAAGCTACGAGGCTTATGCTTTGGACACCAGATAGTTGATACACTACACATATAATGTATATAACTTTAAATACATATATATTATAAATATAAACACTCGTACCTGGAGTAAAAACATTCGTGCTTATCACACAAATGAATGCCCCCAGCGGGACTCGAACCCGCGAACACTGGCACAGCAAGTAGGATCACTACAAACTGAGCCAAAATAGCTATTAAGCACATAGATGGAAGAGGATGTGCTTATTAAAAAAAATATTTCAATCGATAAAGAATTTCGTTATCTTAAGTAAGAGCTTTTAGAGTTCAACACTCCAATTTGTATTACTACTTCAGAAAATTAAAATTATTTTTAAGGTAACTTTTATCAGCTAACAGACCCTAAAAAATAAAATAAATTTACATACAAATTCATATTAATTCTAGTATATACGAATATATTGAATGATCTAAAACTTGTAAAAATAAATTGAAAATATTACTTTTAACATTTATTACTCTAGTGGGAAATATATAGACTTAAAGACAATATTAAATCAACGATATAAAATTATATTTTAATAGAACGTCGTCTCAGTGTTTATTTCTCTAAACGATAAAACCGAAACAGTTTTTAATTCAGAATTAATGACTTATAAATGCCAATTCTATTGGTATTAAATAAATATTTTAATCTAATAAAGTCGAAAATATATATTTTATCTTTATACTAGCGAGTCTATACCCTAACTCCGCTAGGGTTCGTCCCTAGTTACGTTTTAACGTTTAGTATAGATTTCTCAGAGATAAGATTTTCCCGCAGTAAAAATATATCTAATATATCTAAAAATAATATCCTATATCTTGACCCGGATAATCAGCTATCATCGTACCAAATTTCATCAAAATCTGTCTACTGGTTTTCTCGTGATGCGTTCCCAGACAGACAAAAAAAAAATCTAAAAACTATAGATTCGGCCTCTGTAATATAATAACCTTGATAATAATGACTATATTAATAAGATTTTTCCAAAAAATATGTAAGTACAGATTCGACTCAGAATTTTATTATACATATATAATATGTATAGATGTAAGGAAATCTTAGAAACAAACTCTCTACTGTAAAGTACTATAAAGATTGGTCATTTTAACATACAAGCACTAAAGGCCACAAGTACTGCTAATACAATTCCCACTTATAAGAGGTTTTATTATACATATTCTTAAGTAGAAATTGTTTAGTTAGGTTTACGCGTGGGCTGCGTAAATTACGGAAATCACTCTTAATCTAACCGGCTCCGGAAAATGAAGTTACATTTTCTTATTATCCGTTTCGTATTATTCTTGTTTCTCTATAAATTATATTGTTCGAACCCTTTTCCTCTTACAGCTTGGTAATTCCAACACCTTAAGGTTGCCTGAAAGAGATCGTGATAGCGATAAGCCGCCTCTTGTACATTGTCGTAATTCAATCTCTTGTTATACTAACTTTTCTTTGCGGGTGTACATAAATTATTTATTATTATTTCTTTGCAGAACTCCTTTACCTGCTGTTAATAATTAAATAACTTTCTTATTAATCTTCTCCTATTATTAATAATTAAAAAAATATATAGAGCGTTTTATACCCAAGGGGGTATAAATTGAGTGAGGTTAGAAGCTCTTTAATATTTAGACACAGAATCTATAATATAAAAATGAATGTGTTGGTAAGCGTAAATCTCGAGAGCAGCTGAACCGATTTCGCTAATTATTTTTTTAGAATATTCCTTGAAGTACGAGGATGGTTCTTAAAATTTTTAAAAAATTGCCTGAAAAAGTCTAAAAACAACACATTTCTATACTCCCATACAAAAGATTCGTAATAATACTTAAAAGTCAATGTGAACTTTAATACCATACCATAAAGTTTAAGTGTTAGTGGAGAGGTTCCGGGAAGGCAAAACAATTGAGTGACGTTAGTATCGTATAAATATTAATGTCAATATTTGTCAATATTATTAACAAAGAAAAATTAAAATTTATATGGCTAACGCTGGCTAATAACTATTTATATCTATTTAAAACGCACCTAGCGACAAACCCAAGCGGAGCGAGGGTGAGCCGCTAGTATATAAATATAAGTAAATTAAGCGAGCAGAGGTTCAAGCTAAAACTAGTGAAGTACTGTTGAGTAGTATATTATGCATATCTTACAAAACAACCGTTGAGATCTACGTGTAAATTAAAAAAATAACGTATACGATTACAATTAACGTTTACGTATCATAATATTTACGTATAATAATTAATTGTATAAAAAGAAAATTTTATAAGAGAGAAACATATATATTTCTAACGACAAGGCAGTTTCCAGTGGAATATAATTTGCATAATCGCGACATACGCAATGGGATGCCAATAATTAGGTTAATTATCATAATTAGATTCAAGCGTTGCATGCCACGTGTGAATGTTTAGAATGTGTTTCGCGTAAACTGGGTTTCTGTAACAACTAATTGTTTGTACTTATTATCAAACTATATATTTATTACTTTATAAGTTACCTATATAATTTTTATTGACGACACGTTTGGCTCAGTTTGTAGTAACCCTACTCGCTGTGCCAACGGTCGCGGGTTCGAGTCCCGCTGTTCATGATAAGCGCGAATATTTGTACCCCAGTCATGGGTGTTTATATTTATAATATGTATGTATTTAAAATTATATATGTGTAGTGTATCAACTATCCATAATACAAGCCTCGTAGCTTACCATGGAACTAGATGGTGCTGTGTGTTAATGTCCCGACATATTATTATTATATTATTTATTTTTAACCTATATGTACTTATAAAATTACATAATCTTTTAGTGATAAACCTCTTTATAATATTAGTATAGATGTATAGAGTAATGCATAAGATATTTTTTGTTGAACAGATTTTTGAAGCCCGTGATCTACCAATAAAGGACGTATCAGGTAGCAGCGACCCCTACATCAAGGTGTTCCTACTACCAGATCGCAAGAAGAAATTCCAAACTAAAGTCCATCGCAAAAATTTAAACCCGGTGTTCAACGAGACCTTCCTGTTCAGGTAAGTGTTTACATCTGCAGATTCTGTTTGTCCCCAGGAAATTGCTAAATATTTTGGGGTGAAAGTAATCTATCTTTATTATATTAGCTAAAAGAAAACTTAAACGAAATTACTTACAATATTCAATCACTGGCGGTTCACTCTCGCTTCGCTCGAATTCGCCTTTAGGAATACAAAATCAAACCTATCCCACGGGAACCGTCCATTTTTTCGGGATAAAAAGTAGCCTATGTGTTATTCCAAACTATAATCTATCTTTGTGCCAAACTTTATCCAGATCCGTTTAGCTGTTCTGGCGTGAAAGAGTAACAAACATCTATACTCATAAACTTTCACATTTACATATAATATTAATACTGTTTCAATTAAAAGAACATAAAAAGATGAAACATACTACTTATCTCACAAAATAAAACTCAAAGGACTTTAAAACAAAATATATTTCTGTAAATATATTATCTGGAAAATACAGATAATAAGCAGACAATGACAATTTTTCAGAATAATAGCTGTTTTATAATAAAATATGAACAAAGTTCAACGGACGTTACTAAAGTTGTAGTTACATTTTAATTAAATATGAAATTCTAATAGAAAATGATTCTCTTTATAAAGACTACTCAAAGCTCTATAACGGTAAGTGACCTCTACGTCATAATTCACTAGTGAGTAGCGATCTCACCCCACTTCACTAAATAAATGTAATTATTTTTTATTTGCAACAGATGTACATAATATCTTCTCCGCGAAATATTATATGTACCGAAATATAAGAAAACCTATGTAATTCTTATGATGTTAAACTTTCTTTATACAAAAACTGTCTCGGTAGAACAAACAGTAAATACATATTCCTGTTACTGTAACACACTGTTCTGATCTAGTGTGGATCTTTCGAAAATTAGTTAAGTTTCTCTCCAACATGCATATCTCATTAATGTTTTATTGTAATTATATTGAAAATGATTCACACTTAAAAATTTCAGAGGTGCGAGACCCGAAGCATGCAGCCACTATACTTGGTTTTCCAAGCGGACACTTTACCACTAGGCTACTAACTGACAACATTTCCATATAATATCAGTAATAATACTATTTGTATTCTTTTTAATTTAGGTAATTGCCTAGAGCGTCTAAAGGTTCTTTTTTCATATAGGATCATATAAAATCGGAATTGGATTGTGTTTACTCAACCGACTCAAAAGAAATAAGGTATTGCCTTTGAGTCTTCAGCTTTGAATTAAATACAGATGCTATCATTCCAGCTAGTGTTGTAAATTTAAATTATTCATAGTATTCTATAATTTACGCCATCCCTAAAACATGATTTTAAAACTTTATTTTACAAATAAAAAAACCTTAGTTACGCTTCGGGTTCGACCTCAGATAAAAACAAGCCTGTCCCACGGGAAACGTATATTTTTCCGGGATAAAAAGTATCCCATAGGCTATGTGCTATTCCAGACTTTAATCCAACCAATCAATCAAATCAAATCCAACTCTGTGCTAAATTTCATCTAGATCCGTTCAGCCGTTCTGGCGCGAAAGAGTAACAAACATCCATCCGTCTCTCCGTTCCTCCGAATATACACGCGAAAATGGGTTATATTACCTTTTAAAGTGATATTTTCTATCCGTGTTTCATGTTAAAATGGTAGACGTCGCAGCGCATCGACAGATGTAGAAGTTCGAATTCTTTCTAAACTGTTTTAATTAGAAACTTTACCTAAGCTACTTATTGAACTATTAAATTACCTGTAATTTCTAATTGTGATTTTTTAATTTCAAAACAGTTTTCCTATATTTAGCTCATATGAAATGACGTTAAATGCTCAAAATTATATTTTTTGTTTGATCTATCTTTATAAAATAAGTGTCTACCCACTCATACCTGAAACTTTTACAAATATCAGAATATTTTAACAGATCTTTCTAAGGGCATGCATGTAAATCGTTAAAGGTCAATATAGGCATTTTTTTAACTTGTACATGCGTAGCATGTACTGTAGGTTAAAAACTAGTCGTAAATACAATTTAAGATACAATCTACTTGTTATTTATGAAGCAATCAAGAAAAACTATCAAAAGAAATGTTGGAGTCGGTTTCAGTAATCTACAATTAAAATCTTAAGGAAGAAACTTTATAGCTAGATTATAAAGTTTCGCAAGACTGCACTTTCCATTAGCAACCTAACAATATTGTGATGTTCCAACTCTGAGACAATAATGCAAAGATATTATTTGTAAAAGTATAAGGAATCTTGTTATTCTTAGTTTAAATGCAAAAGTTTTTTTACAAACCATCGATCGATTTATTGCATAGATACAGTACAGCGCACTCAGCGATACAAGAAGGTACCTATTGTCTACAAGCAGCATTTTTATAGTATTATTTTAAAATCGAACTACAATTATAAAAGTATTAGAAAATTTGTATGTGTGTATGTATGTTTCTCACTTTTTCATATTAAAATGGCTGTGATGGATTTGGATAAAATTTAGTACAAAAATAAATTATAGCCTGGAACACAAATAGGTTACTCATAATCACCTAGGGATGCATTCGAGCGAAGAGAATGGAATATAAAAAAAAACATTTTTCTATTTTTGAGTCGATATCTCGGAAACTAAGCGAGATATCGAAAAAAAATATTCTTACTTTTCCACATATCTCGTCGAATTCTATGCGAATCCGCCTTCAAATCGTGGCACTGTATTAAATATTATTACATGGATGTTTTAAAAACTAATCAATATTTGTTTTTGTATAGTGTGCCATATGAAGAGCTACGCCAGCGTTATCTACAGTTCTCAGTTTACGATTTCGACCGCTTCAGCCGACACGATCTCATCGGCCATGTGGTATTAAAAGGCCTTCTGGAGTCAGCTGATTTGCATCAAGAAATTGAATACACGATGAATATACTTGCACCGCCACAGGTTAGTGTGTAATATTTAATGAATACATATAACAATGTACATTGAATCGTCTTCACGATGTTATCAAGTATATATATATATATATATATATATATATATATATATATATATATATATATATATATATATATATATAGGATGCCCGAAAAATATATATAATATACAAATAAACAAAATTGAAGTGTCCGTTTATAATGTCAATATAACAGATTTTTAGTAAATGCGTATAAAATTACGGTACATACGGTACTTATAAGAAAAAACACTGTCTGTCTAATTGTTATGGCTAATCTCCGAAACGGCTGGACTGATTTTGACGGGAGTTTCACTAGCAGATAGCTAATGTTATAAGGAGTAACTTAGGCTACTTTTATTTCAGAAAAATAACTAGGGCTTCGCTCAATAAAATTAAAACCTAACTAGCAAAGTGAGGCTAAGTCGTTGGTACATCATACTTATTTGGCGAGAGTAAATATTTGTTTTAAGTGGAAACGTGGAATTTAAACCGTATCTCTGATGTTGATGCAAATTCTTCGATGGTTGCACTAGGCGACAGTAAAATGAAATTTATGTACGTAAAATGTATGTAGTTTAGCCTATAGTTGTCTCACTGTTGCCACATTCTTTTTAAATATAGCATCAAGAAAAATAATATTTTTTTTACCTATTTATTTTTTAATTAAAAATAAACTTCAAGGTCATTAAAATTTTACCTTCTAAATCCAGTGATTATAAAAAATATACTTTATCATAGGCCTCTTCGATTTTCTTCGATTCGATTCGGCTCATCGATTTTATAAGAGATCCATATTATGGTCTCTTACAAAATATTTAATGTTATATGTATAGATAATATTAGTAATGAAACGAATGTGACATAGCGATTACGATTACGATTCATTCATTCATTCATTCTGTTTCTTAATAAAACATACCATAAACTAAATTAAAAGTTATTTGCTGACGAATTAATAATCAAAATTAAGGAATTTCGAATTTCAGTTCAGAAAACATAACATTATAAGCTCGTCTTGTTTCGTTTTTCAGTGGAATTAATCCAACAGTGGAAAATAAACTCTCCGATGCTACAGACGATGGCTTGATTTAAAGATATTTTATACTATTTCTTTTAGAACGGCTTATTGTGTTGCTTCTCTCCTATATTAAACACACACGCACTAACAAAATATTTAACATTATGTGCATTAAAAAGTATGTTAATTTCTTTGAAAATATATGTAAGCCATAAATAATCGCTATGATAATCGACGATTACGATTATTTGTGAATTGTCGATAATCGTCTTATCTATCTAATCGTCTAAATATCTTATAATCGAATACGATTAATCGTAATCGTTACATCACTAGATGATAAATAATTAATTAAAATGAAACCTAATAAAATACACTTTTTATATCGGGGATTAGATATATTAAAAGAAACATTCGAAGAGAAGAGAGAAGAAGAACCAAAAATTAAAAATAAATTCGCGAAAAAATCCGAAAAGATAGTTTTATTTAAAATGTCAAGTATTCGCGTAAATCTAAGAAAGTATTATGAGAAACATTCGTTTTAAAAACTATGTTATATAATAATTATAAGGAGGATTTAAAATTACAAAAATATTTAATATAAAGATTTTTAATAATAAATAAAAAATCTTATGAAACTTATTGTGTTTTGCGAACAAGTACAGCTTAAAAAGTTATAAGCAACTGCTATTATATGACAAGTACGCGGCTCAAACTCTTTTCACTGCCAATTTTAGCGAACAGATTCTCTTTAAACGTAGATGAGACAAAGTTAGCGAGATACATGTTACAAGAGATTTGTAAGTCATTTTATTTTTTCCCAAACTTTTGTTATTTATGGCCTTACTTGTTTATGTTTGATTATTTGCTTATATTTATGAGAAAATTGTGAATACAGAATGTAAATAAAGAAAAATATCTTTATATTGTTAGTAGTATTACTTGAAAAGGATTAAATACAATTTCAAATCCAATATTTTTGAGAAAGTGTTTTAGAAATGTGTAGGAAATAATAAAATTTATACTTAGGTCTTTTTGAATTTGTATGTTGTATAAGTTTGATTAGTTACTACGAGAACGGCTGGACTTATTTCTATGGGTTTCTATAAAAAATAATAAATTAAAATTAATCATAGTCGAATAGATTTAACATAAGCTTCAGTATTGTAAGGAAGAAAGTTCGTGAGTTCGCTTAGAAGAACCGCTGAGAGTTTCAACGTTTGCTCGATAGGCAAAGTTGCAGGCAATAGAAAATATACAGAAATCAACCTTATACCTGCACGTTTTCTAAATATTTTCATATATATTTTCTCATCTTATTACGGATCTTCGAAGTGTGGCTAAGCATATTACAGTAATATGTATCCATATAGTGATAGATAGGTTATTGACGGTTGGCATTCGATATTGAAATTTCTTCAATAATAATAAGTTAAATAAAAAAAAATTAATGAAACGAAGATTCAAAAATTATTACATGATTAGTAAAAAAAATTACTTTTACTCATCATACTTTCGAGTTTAAAGTAAGGTCCATTAATAATGAAAAATTTCTTGTACTTTACAAGCTCAAGTTTTTTTTTCTTTATTAGCGTTATTGATTTTAGAAATTGAAGAACTTTTCTAGAACATTAGGTAAAAAAGGCTGTGAGATCCAAAATGGCTTGGCTTTTTCATCGCTTTTACAGAAAGTAAAAAACGAACAATTTCAGATATCTGAACAACTGTCGAGTAAATGTTTCATATCCCATTTATGTTATGAAACTAAAATTCAAATATTAGACTTGCAACCGACATTTTACTGTTAAATTTTTATCTTTATTTGCTGTATGCACGGTTATGAAATCATTTTATATGAAATTCAGTGATTTAAATTTCTACTTGAATGATTTATGGAAATTCTGCGCAATATTCGATTTTCACGTTTCCAAGGTTTTTGGGTTCTCTTCTGTTCGTGAGGTCAACAGGTGATTAATGACATCTAAACCCAGATTGAACAAAAAAGGTTTTGCAGAATGAGTGTGGTAGTAGGTAGTAGTAGTAGTAGTATATATATATATATATATATATATATATATATATATATATAAAACAGGAAATAGTTATTGCTTTTATTTTATTGATTGATTTTTATTTTTAACAACCTTAAATTGTTCATTTCCCTTTGAACTAAATATCTAACCAAATCTTAGAAGTCAAAGTCGTATCGATTTTAAACTATTGTGTCACACTACAATAATTTCAAACCATCAACCACCGGCCTATTTATAACATCAGATTAGCTACCATATAATAGATACAGGTGGTTTTGATATTAACAATTTAGTCAAAATATGGTTTCTTAGTTTTATTAAAGGCATTGCCCTTGGCTCCGCCCGCGTTCAGATGACCAAAAACAAAATTCTTAGGTTTTACATATTAGTATACTCAGTTTTGTATTTTTTCTCAGAAATGAGACATTTTCCCGCAGTATAAAGCATCCTATATGTGGACCCGGATAACCAGTTATCACCATACCAAATTTCATCAAAATCCCTCCAGTGGTTTTTCTGTGATGCGGTAACAGACAGACAGACAAAAATTGTAAAAACTATAGATTCGGCCTCTATATCGATAATAATGTCTATTTAAATAAAATTTTCCAAAAAATATTTGATGTACAGATTCGGCTTAGTTACAATTTTATTATATGTATAGATTATTGTTATATTAATATATTCGTCACTTGTCTTTTAAGGACAGTTTAGGGATAAATTAAAAAAATACATATCGTAAATTCTTTAAATAAATTCAGTTCTTAAGTTAGGTTAACTAACATAGGTTTAATTTTGAACTTAGTATATAAACATGAATTTAAATAAACCAGCAATTTTTTTTATTGATAATTTATTATGTATGCTTCTTATATACAGGAAAAGAAGGATCTAGGAGAGCTTATGCTTTCTCTGTGCTACTTACCTACCGCCGGGCGACTGACAGTGACTGTGATTAAGGGGCGGAATCTGAAAGCTATGGACATAAATGGGTCATCAGGTACGGCTTTATTATTTTAATAGCAGTTACTACCTACAGCTTTATCTGCATTTAAATTTTCCATTGGCAATATAATAGACGCTAAAACATCCATTTAAGTCTTTCTAATGTCAAAAATAGCAAACATCTATAAAATTACCACCCCCTATTATACTCTTTGGGTGATGAATATTCAAAAATAAACCCCTAGTCACTCACGTTTGGCACTTCATATCAGTACTCTTGTGCAAAATTTATACTTCTAGCTCAATTGGCTTAAGCTGTGTCGTATCTAGCAACTGGTAATTTTAGATTTGAGTATCAATTTTAATGGTGATCGATTGAAAGATGTGGAATATCAATTCTAGCGTTGCAGCGCCATCTACTGACGAGTCTCAGCAATATAGATAGCACAAGATCTTCCTTATATGATATTGTCCTATTATTCCGTCGTAGAACTCACGGCTGCAGCAGTAGTTTTCCGTGCTCTTCTCTCCTTAATCCGGGCAGGATATGATTCTACGAGATTCCCAGCCTTCTAAGGTCTGCCTTAATGGGCCCCCTTCAGATGTTAATAATTGGTCGATCAGGCCTTCTTCAACGGGCAGGCTGACATTGGATTGCCTTCTCTATATAAAAATACTAATATGTTTAATTAATTTTTGAAGTTTTGATGAGATCGAGTTCCCTTAAGTTCTATTGTGTAAAAAAGGTAGTCTAAATTACTAAACTTAAACAAAACTTAATAACGTCGCTAGGACAAAACTTAGCCCAATATCAAGCCTTTGATTAAATTTTAATTAAATTTTTGCTCTACAAAATATGTTGTGGTAAGATTTAACAATCTTTCAATTTCGGTTCTTATTTAAAAATATTGTTTTAAGGAGACCATTTTTATGTATATTTAAATAATTAAATACATAATTTACAAGGAAAAATACTATGTAATTAAAATTATATTTAACTGTACAAAAAAATGTATTTAGCAATAGTAAAAGTTTTATTTCACTAAAGTATGAGGTCTCTTCTATGAATTCATATCTCATCTAAAAATATTTGTATAAATAGAGCGAGGTAACAAATATTTTCAATTAGCATAAAGTGCAAATTTAACTGCTTCGCTGTAATGGTGAAACTTTAACTTGCACACTCACTTTGTACCTAGTATATTGAGTAATATCGTTACCTTCAAAACTTTCAAGGTTCAAAAGTTTGAAGTTAAATTTTGACTTAATATTACTAAGATATTAAATCTTCTAGAATATAATTTGACGATACGTTTGGCTCCGTTTGTAGTGACCCTACTTTCTGTGCCAGCTGTCGCGGGTTCGAATCCCGCTGGGGGCATTAATTTGTGTGATGAGCATGAATGTTTGTACTTCAGTCATGGGTGTTTATATTTATAATATGTATGTATTTAAAGCTATTTATGTGTAGTGTATCAACTATCTGGTATCCATAACACAAGCCCCGTAGCTTACCATGGAACTAGATGGTGTTGTGTGTTAATGTCCCAACATATTTATTTATTTTATAATCAAAACCTCCACTTAAATTAAACTAAAAAAAATATAATGGCGCTGGCACTGACGTAGAAGATCAAGTAAAGCGAGTTTAAATGCGGGCTTTAGCATAGGGTTTGCCATGAGCGAATAATTTTCAATTGCTTAAATGATTACCACTTACCTTTGGGTAAAGAAAAAATTGTAAAAAGTTCTACACATTCATGAAAATTTGACTAGTTTTTGAAAAAACATGTAACTTCCGCCCGCCAACTTACGTTTGACCAGCCTGGTGGGCTATATTCTGATCCCCCTTGCGTTGAAGGAATATCCAAAGCATGCTGGGCACTATAGGATATGTTAATAGGGCTGATTATTATTTTTTATTATTCAGTATAAGAAACAAACTGAAATTTAAGAGATGTTTTTTTAAACTGTCAAATGGTAGTTTATTTAAGTACGCCATTTATTTCGTGGATTAGGTTACTTATTATAAAATATAGTATTCGTTTTATTTTACTACCTTACGTTTTAATTTTAATATCGACAAAAGAAATAAACATATAAACGAAAATCTCATTTTTTATAACGGTATTGTATTATAACGGTGCTATTTTGAACTTCAATAAAAAGACTGCGCTGAAGTCACTATTACTCATTCATTACCAATAGGGCAAGCTCACTTAGCTCGTAAATATTTGACAAACTCGCTTTCAAAGTTTTTAGTTAGATTTTTGTTTTGGCTATATAAAGACTATAATAAAAATTGTGAAATCAATGAGCTTCAAGATTAATATTCAAATAAGCTCGGATAGAAAGAGAAACAAAATATTCTTGTCATGCTGGTTTGAAATTTTGCCGTAGCATAACACCATTGCACTATTTACCGGAGCGAAACCAACGAAAATTATTAGGCAACTTGTTAAACTAACATTTACCCACATATTGAGTTGCTTTCCAAGAACTCAGAAGTGAAAATCGCTGACCTACTTTATCCTACTCTAAACAAGATACTGTATAAATTTACTAATATCCTGCAGTGCATTACTAAGATGCACTGTAAAGATCTAGTTCATGAATTAATTTGACCTCGTAAATAGAATATTGTACTAGTATAATATGTACCTTATATTTGATTAAATAAGTTTTAAATACTCATATTATTAATGTTAGCTATAGTATATACAATACATATAGACTCACTCTCAAAAGAGCATTGTTAGGTTTATAATTGTATAGTTTAAAAATCACATTTTATGGGGCTCACGTGCATTTTCAACACATGATAAAAGAATATAATTGCCGAAACTCATATTAAAAAAGAATATGTTTATCAGTTTGTTTAGACTACTTTTAAAAGCGTTAACATTTCTACTCAAAATCTTCCAGACCATTTCTCAAATTACATAGGGCAGCAGTACGTCTTCAGATTTCACTCTCCCCTTTTACTCGTCTTTTAGTCATTCACCTTTTTCTATTTCATATCTTGTCTCACGCAATCTATTCATGTTTTTTCTAGTTTTCTTCTTCCTCGATTCATTCGTCATATTAATTTCCATCATCTTCTCGTCACATGCGTTTCATCCCTCCTTCATATATTAACACTGCTATTGTGTTCAGCCATTTTTACGTCCCACTGCTAAGCACGGTCCTCCTTTCAATATGAAGGGGGATCAGGCCATAGTCCACTGGCCAAGAGCGTATCGAGCCATAAAGCGTATGGCGGACTGCACATGTCTTACGAAAACTTGCTAAGTTTTCTCAGACATGCAGGTTTCCTCACGATGTTTTCCATTAGCGTAAGACAAGTGGTAATGATGTTGGAAATTGCTATTTGCTATCGCCTTATATTAATTAATTAATAATATATCATCTCCCCGTTTCTAATAGATCCATACGTGAAAATCTGCCTAATCTGTCAAGGGAAGCGAATAAAGAAGAAAAAGACGACGGTTAAAAAGAACACGTTAAGTCCAGTTTACAATGAAGCTTTGGTGTTTGATCTCCCAGCGGAAAACGTGTACGACGTCACACTTCTCGTGAAAGTCATCGATTATGATTTGTAAGTATTCATATGCTTTGACTACTACTGTTCCCCTAGTACGAAGGAGATTGCCAGTTCGATTCCCGGTAGAGGCTGATCTTTTATGTTTACCCAATATGTACTGCTATCCAGGACGTTCCTCTCTTACACAACATTAATTTTATATAATTCTAGCAATGTATGATATAAAATTTTACAACCAATCAAATATTAATAGCAAAAGTTTTAAAAAAGGTTGACGTAAAAAAATAAGACCAAGAGTATACAATTATACAATTGCGCCGCCATATTGGACACATGGCAGCACAAACTAGTTTTTCTGGACATTTAGGTAATTGAAACGGAAGGAAGACGTCAATAATTCAATTTCAGAGGTAGCTCAAGGTCACGAGGTCAAAAGATTTGTACGCCAAATTGTACAAATACTCATAGACTAAATTAACACTTTCCTTGACCTTTTGTAAAGCAGAACGTATCCAATAAATGGGAATTTATTGGGCGGGTTACATTTGAAATCGTTAATCGAATTTTTCTTTGCATTCCTCCTCAATGCGTCATTATGGCCAGCAATAATTTGAAAGTTTTATGTTTTTTCTTTAATTTTTCTATTGTTTTTCTTTGTAACTATATACCAATCTAGGTAAAACTTAATTTTTAGTTTCACTAAGTTAATACAGATATTCAGTTACTACGAATGACTCCATTTTCCACTTTTGATCATTTTTTGACATCATGGAAAGGCTAACCAAACTAACAAAACATAAATTTTTACTCCCTTACTATTATATATGTCTTTCTTTCACGCAGCAACGTACAGATTGATGTTTTTTTAATAAAAATAGTTTATAGATACAAGATGTTTTATCTTCTTATATCAAATAGTATTCATGGAATGTTAGATATTGGGAGCAGTCTATAAAATGTTAATAGAGAAATCGAATTTGGGACCTCCACCCAAGTAGTTTACCAAATACTTTGTTCCTTTAGAAAAACATTGTAATTTATTATTCTTTCTCTTTTTATTATTAAACTTTCACAGTAAATCTATGCTATCAAAAAGAATCACTGCGGCTTATTGGCCATTACCAGTGAACTGCCGTAATCGACTTTGAGTGGATTATCCGTTTTTAACAATATGAAACCCAGATTATATGTTCTTTTTGTATGTAAAACCGCTTTGTTGATATTTTCCAAAGAGGCCGTTCAATGTCATCTAAACCTTTAAAATATGTTAGAATCTTCTTTAATATATGAAAAGAGCGTGATTAAATGTCATCAGGGACTGTATATATGCAGTATTGATTTCATCACGCTATGGTGCACGTCTAGCGTGAAAAGATCCTTGAACAATTTGCCATTTACTTCTTCGAATAGTGCTTAAAATAATGAAATTCTATAAAAATACTTGAACTTGAGGATAGAAAAAAACCCAATATTACTGTTGCAATTGAACATATTATATATATATATATATATATATTTAGATTTGAAACTCCGAGAATTTTATATTGTTTCTTAGTGTGTGTATATGGAATAAGTAAACGAATTTATACAGGACACACAAGCGAGAGAGTATATCCCTAGTATACTATCTTTTCCCTGCCCATTTCCCAATCACTTGGAGTCGGGGCAGTACATTTTCTGTACTGCTGATAGGATTTGGCAAAAGTTTTACGACCGGCCGCCTGCCTGACGTCAACCCTCCTTGGGAATGCTATTGTCTCTCTTTGTCTGAATGGTATCGCGGAAGTCCTATAGTATGCACTTTCGATTTTTTTGTCTTTTAAAACATTTTTTTATACTATTACTTAAATTTTTAATGCTTTTTTCGTATATATTTTAAAATAAATTTTGATTACACAATAAATTTTGTTTTGACGTTGTCAATTTTGATATAAAACTATAATAACTTTAATTGTTACATAGGATTGGGCCCAATGAACTGATCGGGTGTACAGCAATAGGCTCGACACTGATCGGTATAGGCCGCGACCACTGGCTGGAGATGTTGGACAATGCCAGGAAGCCGGTCGCACAGTGGTACCCACTGAACAAGAGCCCCCCGACCAACATTAACCTGCCAGCGAATAATCAACAGAATTCTGCGCTGAACTGCTTAAATGGAAGGTAAAATTACAACATATATATATACATATATATATATATATATATATATATATATATATATATATATTTAAGAGATAAATAAGTTGTATATATAGATAAATGGTTAGCTCTAAATTGGAAAAAATATCATCGAGCCAAACAATTTAGGCGATCATAATCATCAATCAATAAGCATAAATATTTTTTTAATTTCAATAAAGGACGAAGGAAATACACAATAAAATTTAAAATTTTTGTGCAACTTTAAATATTATATGTAAAAGCAGTCTTTATAATAGGTACCTACATGTTTAATACTGTTACCTTAGTTTAGTTACGATATAACGAAATTTGGTATGAGGATAGCTGGTTATCCGGGTCAACATATAGGATACTTTTTACTGCGAGAAAATATCTCATCTCTGAGAAATCTATATAATCTATACTAAACTATAAATCGTAACAGTTAATATACCAATTTTCAAATTTATATACCATGTAGTTAAAAATAATTATTTGTTCGCAGATGAAGAGACAATCAGATCAATATTGGTTACATCAACAATGACCGAGCACAAGATATGTTAAGGAAACCACGGTTTCTCACGATGCCAAAGATTTAGTAGTAAATGTGATTAGAAGTTTATGATTGTAAGTCCATTTACTATAGAAAATGAATGTTAAGTGATGATGTAGATTATTGAATAGAATAGATATTTGTTGAAGTAGATGAATTATCCTAGATGTTTTAATTTTAAATGTATACCCAGGTTTATTAGATATTCTTAACAGTCACCCAGTGTACCTATCCTTGTACTTTGTACTTTTAATATTTTATATAATATTTTATAACGCTTTCAGCTATTTTACACGATGTTACTATTTTAAACGCACATTTCCATTCAAGACTTGATCTTTAACTATTAAATGTTGTATCGTGTTTACATAATATAGTGGATATTAATTTTTATAATCTCATATCAAGTGTCTATCGGCTTTATTCGGAGTATCGGTGGAAAGTATGTTTGGTTGATAACATATTGAATGTATAACATTCTTTTAGTGTCTGACAATAAGTAGATGAACTTTTGCATTTGAATTCTGATCTTTGTTTTCTTTAATAATTCTGGTGAAAATAGCGTTTGTATAAACAAGTCTTTATAAGATAAAAAAATGAAGCTTTAAATCGTGTTAACGTAATTTGGTATTTTAAAATATCTATTTATCAATATCAAAGGAATTTACTTTAAGTATGTATTATATATAATATATCTCTACTTATTGTATATGTGTTTGTATACAATTTTAACATGCATAATATAAGTATAGTAGCGACTTTGATCGATATGTTTTGTGTATAATGACCGTTTTCTATTCTAACGACTGTCTTAATCTTTTAATCGTATAAAAGACCACCTAGTATAAAACACATGAGTAAATATACTTACAGGAACAAAGCTTCATACGACCGTGCATAACGGAAGCTGCGTGCTTGACGAGTTCACGTATGCCCTATCTGTTGACAAAGCCGGTTTTTTCCGGCTCGAGCTGTTGACAATCTTAGGACGAGTGCGCTCAAAATAAAACGCTCTTTGTACGGATACTTACTCATTTTGTATAAAGAGCTCAAGCTGTAAACGTTGTATATATCAACTTTCAAATGAAAGTTAACTGTTTTGAAGTCACATCTCTAGTTACGAGTATATATTAAAAAAAATCAATTAACACGTGTTCTAGACTAAAAACAAGCGGACACACAAAAAAATTCTAAATAAAATATTAGCGTTTTGTTAATCTCAAATATCTATCAAAAACTTTGAACAAATAAACTCAGAATTATCATTTCTATGTAATATGTACATATATACAGACGGACTAAAGTTCGTAATTAAAGTTATTCAAGGAAACGACGGGAGCTCTTATTGTTTTCATTCTCTGCTTTCAAAATTCGGTGAAATTGTTTGAAGCTTGCTAATAGCTTTTGATATTTGCCATCCATTAGCTTTTGTTTTAGTTAACAGTTCAAAGTAAATAATCAAATATTTATACGTTAGGTTTTAATTGAAAAAATCGAGTTTATTTCGAACTCTTTTATGTAATTTGTATTTATCACGTTCTATGATTAGTTCGAATTATGTATCATTATGTGTTGTGACAGATACATCTATTAACTAAATTACTAAACGAATTGACTTCTTTTTCTGTACATTTCTCTTCTTTCATCAATTGTTTAATGTTACGCGGATTAATAAAACAGTAACGCTTTAAATGTGATGAGATTTTTGTTTGGTAGGAACTTAAAATAATATACTATGTAAGGTCAAATAATATCAGTTAAATATGCTAAGTTCAAGCGAACTTACTAAGATGAGGGTAGCGTGTTCTATTTTCGTGAAGAAAGAATCGCATATCTTTAATTGTATTTACTGTAGAAACTAGAAAGTAATGTTATGAAGGAATATATAATACCCATATTAAAATGGCGTCAAAATAAATTAAATTCTAGCCACTACGTAATTTTTAGTAAATAAATTAAATGATATTTATTTCCATCGAAAACCGTTACAAATATGCATATTCTGAGTTAACATGAATACTAATTTATTATTCATAGATGCTGTAAAAGCAATCGTATTATAATTTTATTTCATTTAAAATTTGTAGATGGGAGAGATGAGAGAAGTACATATACGAGTATATATTAAAAGTAAATGTAGAACCAAAAACTGTTGCGTAGATTTATCATGACATACAAACATGGCCAAGTAACTTAATAAGTAACTCTATACTATTTCTAATATAAATATAATAAATCTTGACTTGACTGAATGTAATGGTCAAGTGTTAAGAAATGTCATAAAAAATAAAAACGGGTTTGAACTGTAAGGTTCATATTGTCTAAAGTAATAATCACTCGCTTTGACAACTATACAGATAAATAAAATTGAAGTGTCTGTTTGTAATGTCAAAATAACAACTTTTTACTAAATGCATATGAAAGTATATACGGTACCTACATATAAAAAAAATACAATTTTTAAAGATTTTGTCTATCCGTCTGTCTATCTATCTGTCTGTCTGTCTGTCTGTCTGCTTGTTCCGGTTAATCTTCGGAACGGCTGGACCGATTTTGACGTAATTTTCACTGGCAGATAGTTAATGTTATAAGAAGTAACTTAGGCTTTTTTAACTTTTATTTTAGAAAAACAAAAAGGATTCCGCTCAAAACAATTAACACGTACCTAGGGACGCACCTGAGCGAAGCGAGGATCGGAGGTAAACTTAGTCATGAAGCCATTAACAAGAAAATTAAATAGAACTTTACACATAATCTTAATGACGTCATAGGCACTCAAATTATTATAATACTGGGCTTGGGTGCACTACTAAGCATTTTATAGGCACTAAAGTTAACAGTAACAAAGTTAAAACAAAACAGCTGTAATGGTTTTTCTATTAACGTAGAGAAGACGAAATCTGAATAAATAACAATAGTGGAAATGAAATATTCCTTTCTATAAATTGACTTTTAATTTTTCACGCTTGATGCAATACTAACTCAATCACAATGATAAATGTTGTTTGGAAAAAGTCGCCTCGGTAGAATTCCAAAGTCGAATTTTTCCCTGCATTTATATTCAACAATTAATTATGAATTGAAATTGTATTTGAGTTGACTTTTTATGAATATTATTATTTGTTTTTATTAAATATGGTAGACTAACTATATAATTTACTGTATAAGTGTATATCTATATACGTGTATAGAATAGATGTCACACTATTCTTCGGACGGAATTTAATGAAAAAAAATTACATATCCATGTTTCTGATAGTATAGTTAAAAGTGTTATAATTACCAGAAATTTGAATGTATGAAAATTAAAACGTATATTAATTAGGATAAAAAGTTATTTTTGTCCACCCGCAGTAAAGGCAGAGTAAGCTTAGAGCTTCTACAAACACATAAACAAACAGATAAAATAAATATATCTTTTTGCATAGCTATTGTATTTCTATATCTTTTCATTTCCTATTTCCTATAATATGGTATTGAAAGTACAATTGTGGCTAAACGAGAGATTATTTTTGTATGGAATAGACTTGGTACTTTAGTCTTTATACTGTAAATCTGTCTAATGTAAGTACTTGTACTGGTTTATGAATAAAATGTTGACATTTTTATATACGAATTTCATTTTCCCTTTTATATAATACAATTTTTGAATGACTATATTATTATCATTAAATTCTCAAATTATAAATTTTTGAAGGTTTCTGAAGAAATTTCTTAGAAAAATTAATTCCTAAAAGCCATTGAACTTAAGAATTGAATAGATATTTTGGATTTAAAAAAATAATCCAATCAAATAATATCAAATAATATTATAAATTTGAAAGTATGTGAGGATGAATGAATGGATTGATGTTTGTTACTCTTTCACGCTAGAACGGCTGAACAGATCTAGATGAAATTTGGCAAAGAGACAGATTATAGTCTGGAATAGCACATAGGTTACTTTATATACCGGAAAAATTTACATTTCCGTACGAAACCGAAGCGAAGCGAGGGTGAGTCGCTAGTTATCAAATTATGTAACAAAGTGATAATAAAGAGATTGAACACTTTTATTATTTTGCAGTTTATATAAAACGTTAGGATATCCACACTAACTGTTCCGTAAAACTACTGAATAGAAGTGTTATAATAAAGCAGTTGCGTGCGATTGCGTGTTAGTTACTTTTTCACGCCATGAATTTTAGTGACTTTCAAAATAGAGACAGGTAGTGTTCACACATAGGTTATGTATGTATATTGTATATGATTCTATCTTCGAGTCATGTATCGACGCGGTTTTATGTTTAAATATTAAAATTAATTATGAACTGGAGTATTACATTTAAGCTACTTTTTAACCAACTTCCAAAAAGGACGTTCTATGTTCGTCTATTGTATGTATTGTATGACTTCGAAAATATCTGATTATGTATCTATAGTAAACGAAAACCCCCGTTCAGTTATTTTTTTACTTTGTAGTGCCTGAAAGTCGGTTTTTTTGTTATTTTTTTTTAAAGTGAATTGCTTATTAGCGAACTCTTAAATAAAGTGAAGGAGGATAACTAATAAAAAAATCTTCTCATATCTATTATAATATATGAAAAGTTTTGTTCTAACATATGTATATATACTTTAGTTGTACTACTATAACTATACCTATGGGATTTTACCATATTAAATATTATTTAATTTAATATGGTTTATTTGCTATAAATCATTTGTATAATATGCATTCGAAAGCCTAATAATTAGTGGTATTTTCACACATCACTGACGTTTGTCAATAAATCGCATTACGCGATTACACTGTAAATAATAGTTATTAATCATAATGGTATTCGTAATGACTAATTACATAAATATACTATCCATAATATATCTGATATTTTCATGTGCCCATCATTTCTAACATGATTACCACTCTAAACGATGAAGAAAAACATCGTGAGGAAACCTGCATGTGTGAGA